TTAATGTCGCCTATTTTAATTCACCAAGATAAAACTTGTATATATTATCGCATCCAATCAATTAATGCCTCAGAAGGCATGTGAACCACACAACAATATAATACGTGCCATATATATATATATATATATATATATATATATATATATATATATATATACACATTGTTGTTATTGTTAAACCTGTGGAATATAGAGCCATGACATCGCTAGTATATACATGCACACATATACAGCGTGTGATGGATAAATTATCGTCTAAATTACGCCAAAATGAAAATAATACTGGTATCTCATTTTAACACACACACACACACACACACACACACACACACACATATATATATATATATATATATATATATATATTCCACAGAAATATCTTGAAATACTAAAGAGTATAATTTATTAAATAAAATCGCCATAGGCTTCAGTCACGGCCTCAAGACAACTTTGGAATCTCTGTACATCTTCTGGATGGCGTCTTTTTTGGTTTCTCGCCCCCACATATAATAACCAAGGATTTGTAGTTTGGTGGCCATATACAAGGGATAAGGTACTCGAAGAAATTGTCTGACAGCCATGACTGGGTTCTTCTGCTTGTGTGGCATGTTGCAAAGTCCTTTTGCCAGACATAGTGTCTTCCAGTAGTCACCCTCTTGACCCTGAGCAGCACTATCAACTCAAGGCTTCCGTGTTGAGGTTCTGTGGGAAGATAAATGGAGGCTTAACGTCGCCAGCACTAGTGAACACTCCAAACAATGCTGGTTGGACACTCTAAAATATTTGTATTGAAGCTTCCGGCTCGAATACCAAGCAGTAAAACATGCCGTTTCCAAATGTTTGGCGGAGGGAATTGCGTCATGGTGCTCTGTTTCTCATAGTTTGTGCCAAACTGACCCTACTATAATGTGATGTGTAGTCGACAAAATCAAAAGCATAAAAAATATTCATAGCCCACTATATATATATATATACTGAGAGCGAGAAGCAGGGAGGGAGAGAGTGGGGCGAGCTTTATATTCCTATCTTATAAATGTAAATTGAATTTGATATATTTTGTTTGAATTAGTGACGTTTGATGTCATCATTTGCTAAACACACCCGATCCGCCATATTTAAATTTTGTTTTTGCTCCCATTCATGGTAAAACTCGGATATGTAATATGTGAAAGTATTCATTTCAAAAAACACTATTTCTCGGCATCTTAATTCCAACGAAAGATATTTTGCTTGCGATTGTTGATGATAATGTTAAATTTCCAAAAATGAAAATGGTATTCATAAATGTAATGTATGATTTTTTATTAATTTTATGTTTACTCCATTGAAGTTATACCCGAAGGTTATTGTCAGATTTTTATGAGAAAGTGACGATTGAGCTAAATTTGAATCGAATCCTTTAATTTACATTCAGTTATCTTGCAAATGTAAAAAAAAAATACTGCTTTATACTAAATCCCCAAATCTGCTTTGACTAAAGCACTTGAAGAGAGAGAAAGAGCGAGAGAGAAAGAGGGGGGGGGGAGGGTGTGTGTGCGTGTGCACTTATGTGTTTGTTGCGCGAGTATGCTGGTCAAGTGTTTAAGTGGAAAACATGTGTCTCCTGGTATATTTATTTCGCACAAAAATTGCGGACTCGGAATGTGAGTCTGGGCAATAAAGAATGAAAGCAACAACAAAACTATGCATATAAACAAATGATAATGTATGTATTAACATAACAAGGGTATACATAACCAACAGAATATTGTTTCGTGTTACAAAACAATGAACATGAATGAAAAAAACGTTTAAACTAGTAAATTGTTTGAGTGTGTGACGTTTTACAGAAGTAAGAGCTAAAAAAGCTGTTATATGGAAGAAAATGAAGAGGAAAGTGATGGCGTGCATGCGTGCGTGCGTGCGCTTTGCCCCGCATTCGAATCTCCATCTTATTGTCCCTGAATGAAATAGGAAAAAGAGGATGACGGAATATTACTCGTTATTTATAGGCTTAGGAAGCGTCCCCTAGCGGCGTTTTTTTTCTTTTTTTTTAGTAAAATAAGTTATTATTAGGTAGTGGTATCTGTTTCTTGTTGGTCGACGCGTAAAAAACATTTGGAATGCAGTGTATATTGGACCTGGTTTTGAATTATGGGTAGTGTAGCGTTGAAATGGGATGGGAATTAAGAAAATATTTCCTCTATTGACTGGTTATATCTATTGCCACACCTTGACGTTCTTCTTTGTACATAACTTGTAGGTGCCCACAGCTTTTACATGCCGTTAATGTCTGTAAGGCATTCACTTATTCCTTGTATCCACACATCCGAAGGTGGCCTAGAGTAGTTGCCATGATGGAAACAGAATGTACAATCGTTGTTCTCCTTACAATCATTTCCAACCAAACAGTGTTAAATCCAGTTGGCGTGAAATGACTAACATAGCTACACTGCTCATTTACCTATTAGGCCACAGAAGTCGGGGTGAAACTAATATAATAGCATACTGATGTTTGTAAATTTGGGGCATATCATTTTATATAATGCATACATATATGACTCATAAAATTGTATATATCTGATTTGCGTTATATGTTCAAAATTCAATTCACTTAAATAGATTAAAATGAATGTAGATTGGAATTTATTTAGTTATCTCCTTACAAGAGTTTCTCTATGAAAAGGAAAACTAAAGAAGAAAAAATATCTGTTTCACAAATAATATAAAGACTGAGTTAAAAGTTTTTTTTAAGAAAAATTAAAATCTGATACAAGTCGAAAGATTTGGTATTAATTTATATCTCTCCAGGTGAAAATGTTTCTGTCGTAAGTCAACTTTAAGAGTAAAAGTAGATAATGTTCAAATCTTCATAAAGGATGAAATCAGTTGTCAGTTCACGTTGAAGTCTTGCAGCAGATAATTCAGCAATGCCATATATATATTCAATCAACAATATTTAAGAACACCTGCGTACGCACATATAGACAAAGATTCTTATATATGCTCTTGAAAGAATACAATTCACTTGAACTCGTATTATCTGTGTGGGTGTTTGTGTATTTGCGTGTTTATGTGTGTGTGTGTGTGTGTGTGTGTGTGTGTGTGTGTGTGTGTGTGTGTGTGTACTACTGACAGAAATAGACACTAGTGAAAACAATTTGATAATTAAATAATATTCAGGAAAATACTTTATGCGATTCAAAAAACTATTCCACTCCCTCTCTGCCCATCTTCGGAAAATACGTTTGATTAATTAAATTTTTAAGAATGCTAAAACTCTCTATTTATTCAAAGTACCAATGAGAGAATAATGGCGGAATAACAAAGATAATACAAACATATCGGTTCATTGACATGAAAGACAAGAACTACAAAAGTCTCTTTATTTTTGAAGACGTAAGACAAGTTTTTAGGTTAAGTGAAGACGAAGAGCAGGCCACTTTAAAATACATCTAATTATTTTTGTTCTCCCCTTTATTTTTCTGACGCAACATTTTCTCTTTCAAATGGAATATAAACTAATGAGGACAAGATATTATTTTTTTTTCTTTTATGTATAAGCTTTGCTCTGAGTATTCAAGTGCATCAATAATTCTGAATTTGCCATGTTTTATTTAGGTACACTTTTAATATATTCCTAATTTGCTTATTTAGTCAAACACCAGTCTTTTAAAAGGTTATTTAAATCATTTTGAGCATGTTAAGACAGGGACTTACGACATATATTTTGCTATTTTGCCACTGGAAAACTGTTTAACCATTGGCATCTAAACTGCTTCAGCCTTTACTGTAAATGATTACTGATAATTTTCCTTAATTTACTCAGTATCTATGATAATCATAAAGTCTTAAATGAAATTTTCATCTTGCGTGATATGTGACTTAGCTTTGCCATTATGTTCGGCATGTAATATGCGAATTACTACGTTCAATCCCTAATCAAATTGTTTCCAAGAATTGCTTATTTGATGATCCATTGAAAGTGAAGACCAAACCGTGTGTTTCTAGGTCAATAAAAAAGGAAAGTCTGAAAATGCTTATGTGTTATTTTTGGTTATGACAAGAACAAAACTCCTAGACAAGAAGATTTGCGTCAAATTTAGTCAAATTACACCTTCTTATTAGATTGAGCGCGCGTGACCTAATGACTAAAGACTCGAGTTCGAATTTCATCATAGTCGATCTGTCAAGTAAGTGACTTTTTGAGAGAGACGATCCCAGTGTGTCGGACAACTATACCACAGCTTAACCCAATCATTGTGAGTGAAATTGGGAAAATGAAACTATATGGAAATCGTCTATAATTGTGTTAGCACGAAGTTCCTAGTCATCGTGACCGAGGGTACTAGCGTTGTTCCAATTGGCAATTACACCAGATTATGCCCCTCTCCCAGAAACTGTATCAAAGTTTCTCTCAGCATAGTTGCAGCATAAACCACAGTTGTTTGCTGAACAAACACAAACGATCAGCCAGCCATACGATTTGATTTTGCTTGATTTATTTGACTTTCCTGGGTGTAATTGTCATCAGTTACTTTTTAAAGGTGCATTCACAAAAATAACTGAATTCACGTCTTTTAATTGAAGCTGTGCTAGATTATTTGTTTTTTCCAACTCAATGTTCTTAACAAAAACGACAGTCACCCTTTACGTTGTCATTGTTGTTTTTTCACCTTTTCAACACACTTATATGTAATTATAACATTCCTTTGGAATTTAGTTGGGAGTAAAGAATTCTAACTCAATAAGAGAATTAATTTAAAAAAACTACATTTCTTCAACGTAATTGGCATTCCATTTTGCAACAAGCAACAATTTTAACAATATTACCCCAACATAATGATAGGCTCACTTCATTCTCTTCGTTCTCTTTTTATTAATAATGAATTTAATCCAATAATAATAATAATATTATTAATAATATCAGCAAAATAATAATAATATTAATAATAATATCAGTAAAATATTGAGACAGTTTACCACTTAATAATAAATAAAAAAAATAAAGATCGCTTATTGCCATATCACGTTGAAACACCGGTTCCCGTATGATCAGTGAAGTTAAGAAACGTCGAGTCTCATCAGTACCTACATGGGTGGCCTCTTGGGAATACCAAGTGATGTAAGCTTGGATGTGCAGGTGGTGTAATGGGAATTGTTAATAGGAGAGCCGAGTTCTAATTCTACTTGGGTTCTTTATCTTCGTTTATACGCAAAAGGGAAAAGTATGCGAGGGTTAATTAGTAAAACTTGTATCACTAAAGCGTTATTATCTCAAAAGAAAATTTACAATCTAAAATATTTTCTGGCTTTAAATAACCTGCAAAAGTTTGATATGTCATAGAAAACGAATGAATCAATCAATCAAAATAAAGATCAATATAAGATTAGCAAATATATTCATTGGAATATATATCAGTATTACAGCGCACCATATGGTAGAAAATAGCATCTTATATCTATAATTCTGAAAATATGTCTCTGTCTGTATGAATGTATGTGTGTGTGTGTATGTGTGTGTGTGTGTGTGTGTGTGTGTGTGTGTGTGTGTGTGTGTGTGTGTGTGATCAGATGTTGTTTATGCGTTACCATTTTCATCTGATTTCGATTAATTTTTTTTTGTTTTATAGATGCCAGCTTCAGTGCCGGTTTTGAGTCTAAATTTGTGGCAACAATGGCTCTCCACTACTTCCTGTCCATTATAACTCTCAGCTGCGTTTTGCTATTTACTAACTGTTCTTGGATATATATCGTTCATAAGAACTTTAATAAAAAATAAATACTTTAAATTATTACAGTAATATTATCTATATCTATAATTCTCAAAATGTGTGTGCGTATGTCTGTCAGTGTATGATCGGATGTTGATTATGCGTTTCCATAGTTTTCATCCGATGAAATTCTTTTTGTTTTACAGATAATTCTTCAGTGCCAGTTTTGAGTCCAAATTACATATTCCCCTCCTCTTGGCCAAGCGTCCAATCTCTCTCAAGTGAGGTTACCTTTTCTGTTGCATAAAGCCTACTACTACAGTTTTAAGACGTTGCTTTCATTGTCGTTCATAGCCGTTCCCAAGTTCATTTTTTTATTGTCCTACCAGTTTTCGCATTGCATTCACCGTAGTAACAAGTAAACATGCTTTTTTATTACTCAACATTTATTTTCTCAACATTTCCTAAAGTTATTCGAGCTTAGTGATCCCTGTAGATTTACAGCGTTCTCTTCTGGTATTTGCCCCCATATTCCATTTGATAATTCATACTTGCCTAAGACATGCCACTAAAGAAAAGAACTTGTCTAAGTCGCAAAACCGCTGCTACCAGGTCCACCCATGCGAATAAGAGATAACCAATTGTCTTTAGAACGTTCAGTTTGCCTGTCTCAAAACGCATCTCGGAATGCTTCAATTAGAGCCACTGAGTCCGAAGAACAACGTAGCCATCGGCTTTCCAGAAAAGCATACCTAAACGCTTCTGCGCGCGTGGCTGAAAATGATGTTCAAAGGATTCAACGGCTGAGGAGAAACACCGCTTCAAATGCTGCTGTGCGTAAGGCTGAAACAAGAACGCAAAAACAGCTCTTTTCAGGGCCACTCCGCATTCAAACTGTTAATCTACCATTTGGGCATGTGTCTCAGTTGCACCCAATTGTTGTTCGAGTGAGTTGACTTTAAACTTAAACTGCTCCAATTGAACAGCAAAAATTCCCCAAAAATGAAAGACCTGGTCGAAGACGGGTTATACTGTTAGTTTTTTCATAATTCATTCATTTCTCTGTTGGGTTTGAGTTACTTACCTTATTGCTTTTTTGTGATCTAGTCAGGAATCTAGTCTTCTAGCTTCGATAATTTGCATCTCAACGTACCGGGTGATTTTATGTATTCCCTCATATAGTGCAGATTCTGATTTCTGCATATCCCATCACTTTATTGTAAATACGTAATCACAAAGCACAGTCCATATATTAGTCTTCCTATCGATTCATATATGTTATTATACTCCTTATAAGTTATTTCCTGCACTCGCTCAATGTCATTAGTCCACATTTTTTATTTGAACCGTTTCTTCATCTTCTACTTCATATAACTGGCTCACAGGGTGTTTTGAAGTGTATGTTGTTTCGATTTTTAATTGACTTTGTTTCTCTTTTCCAATGCGTAGCCACATTGCTGTCGATTCATCGGCATTTCCATGAGTGTGTCTTCTGAAATACCTATACAATTGTTTTTCTTCCGACATAGAAGTTCTTGTTTTGTGCTTCCTGATTTGTCCTCCTGATAGTTGTATTGCAATATCTGGATTTTGCAATTAGTCTATTCTAAATCTTGCAAAATCGACGCAGTCTTCGATGCTAACGGGTCATCAGTAAATTGCAAAATTCAGTTATTTTCATCAAAACAAGCAGTACATTTTAATCTAACCTGTTTCTAAGCTCAATACTTTTCATCAAAGAATTTGTTTCATCGAAATTAAATTTTCATTTTCTTAACTATCCTTCTCTTTCCTAAAGATTTATTTTTTTCAGCGCTTTACTTTTTCTGTTTCGAGTCGTTTTGCAAATATTCGTGAGATTGATTCTGAATTTAATTTTTAATCCTTTTTTTTAGAATGTGCCCTCCTGTTTTCTGTAAATACCATGACCCCGGTTCACCCTCAGTCTGAATTAACGTACGCATTTTGTTCCGTTGGGAAATTAAATTCTCTCACTTGAAAAACTTAATAACCAAAAAGAAAGTAACTCGAAACGGAAATAAAAATGATAAAGCGAGGAAAGCAGTGAGAGTGGTGGGGGGGGAGAAAAAAGATAAAGGCGTTAGATGGGATGAAAATATAGAAGTGGAGTGTCTCAAGGTGAATTTGAAGTTTATGAAGATAAAGTGATAGATAAAAAGGTGGGGAAATGAAAAGAAACAAATGTAATATATGAAGATAATGTGCTAGAAAGTAGAGGGACGAATGAAATGAGAAACGAAAGCAAGAATTAGCTATTAATATGTACCAATCTTAAAATGCAAGAAAATAAGAATTAATCTTAGTTTCCTCCCCATTTTGGCAGACGTATCTGTTTTTAGCCAAGTCACGTGACAGTATCTTCTATACTACGTATCTCAAGTAATATATAATTTAGAAATATATGTTGATATTTTTCATAATATTATCATCATTCATGTAATATATTTTTCCCACTTCCTTTTCCCGTACATTCCATAATTCTGATTTTTATTTACCACTTTTCTACGAAATTCATTCTACGAAATTCTTTCTACGTCGTTTCAAGTCCAACTGAGTAAACTGACATGGCAGCTGCGTGTTCACATTTTCTTTTAAGTGCCTTCAGGACATAGATGATCATGACTCTCCACAACTTTCCTTTGTAACTCTTAGCAATGTTTGCCTTTTTACTATCCCCTACTCTGTGATCTGCCATCCATTTACACACGCTCATTAGGAAGATTATACGATGTTCCTTCTGCCTCTCTTGCCTTCAGAAGTGTGAGTGCCAAAATCTCTTTCCTCATTTTGTGTCTGAGACATTTCATCTATTTCTATTTCCAAGTACAAGTTTCCTCTTAGTTTCCATCTCCCTTAAAACCTCCTCATTATTCACATGTTCCGCCCATGGTACACTCAGCATCCTTCTATAGAACCATATTTCTGTTGCCTCAAGTCTACTCGTCATTTGCGAGGAAATTGTCTGGCATTCACTGCTATGTAGGAGGATTGATATTACATAGTAGTTCAGAATCTTTTCTTTCTTTCTAACGAAATTTCTCTGATTTCTAATACTTTGTACACATAGATAAGCTAAAAGTGTTCACCTGCTTAAACTAATGAATTGCTTAAATCTTCGGCTACTTTCAAACTTCGTATTGATTTTCATATGTGTGTACATGAAAACTGACGTTCATTTGCCCGTAATGGTCGGGTACCTGTTCGGAAGATTCTCGGTATGACTTCGTATGTTTAATCTCAAACGCCATGATACTTTTCTTAGATAAGTATAAAAAGGCGTTTTCCTATAGCGTACAAAATTCCTAAGAACAGTGTTGAACATTTGTAGTGACTTCTTTAACTTATTATTTCGCTTTATCCTAGCAATTTTATATGGCAACTCTACATACTCTACATTTCTTATTTTTGGATTTCATATTCCTTGCATTTCTTACTCTTTTATTTCATTTTCCTTAATTTTCTTATTCCTTGCGTTTCTTATTCCGTTAATTTCTTATTCCTTGGCTTACATATCTCTTGCATCTCCTATTACTTGCATTTCTTACACCTTGACTTTTATATTTCTGGCATTTCTCATTCCTTGTATTTCTTACTCCTGCATTTCAGATACCTCTCATTTCTTTCTACTTCTATTTCATAATCCTTGCCTTTCTTACTCTTTGCCTTTCCTATTCCTTGTATTTCTTATTTCTTGCATTTCTCGTTCCTTGCATCTCTTATTCTTTGTATTTCTTATTCATTGCATTTCTATTTCCTTGCATTTCTTATTCCTTGACTTTCTTATTCGCTGCCTTTCTTCATAATTCTGTTTCTTATTCCTTGCCTTTCTTTTTCATTGCCGTTCTTATTTCTTGCTTTTTGTACTCCTTGCATTTTTCACTCCTTCTATTTCATATTCCTTGCATATCTCATTCTGTGCCTTTCTTAATACTTGTTTTCTTATTCATTGCAATTATCATTCCTTACCTTTCTTATTTTTGCATTTCTTATTCTTTGCATTTCACATTTTTTTTTTTAATTTCTTATTCCTTGTATTTTTTATTTTTATACCTATTTTAGTAGAATGGCACGTTCTTTAAACAATCATCAGGATAGTAAGAGACAATTGGCGTGTTTAGTAAAATTATAAAATGGTGTGACAATGCTATTTATAGTCGAAAGTTTGAATCATATTTCCTCTAACTTCTTTAATTTACTTTAATGAACTTCATACAGTTTCTGACGGAATCGTCTCCTTATCCGAGAAGAATTATTCTTAACTTCGAAAAGTCGATCATAAAAATTAATCGACACAATATATATATATATATATATATATATATATATATATATATATTATTAATAGAAATCTTATAAGTATAAAAAACTATACTCGCTCGGAAAACCTTCGGTGTA